TGCCGGCGCACATCTGTACACAGCTGACTGCGCTGCCGCCGAACCGGCGTCGGCCTCTGGCGCTCGCCGTGCTGGCGCCACCGTCGCCCTCGAAGGGCATCCGCTTGCCCGAAGCCGCTGCTTGGCCTTTCCAGTGACATTTGCGGTTTTGCAGCACTGGCGCAACCACTCCACTTGGCACAAAGAAATCGCACAGGCTGCTGAAGGCCGGGCAGACACGTACCCCGAGCTCTCGGGTGAGGACCTTGGGCATCTGCATACAAGTGAAATAATTGTATGTAAATAATTTTTGCTATCTCTCTATAGTAAGGTTTGGTCTGAGCACTCACACCAGTGTTTACTACAAAATGGTTACTGTGTAGCGGTTCTGTATGTAAACACTTAAAGCAATTTAGTGTTTCCATAAGCCTAGGTATGAACAAGGTCTTCACTTACCATTTCTTCAGTCTTGCAGCATCTTTAGTTTATTTGCTGGTATTTTATGCATGGACTTTGATTACAGCAAAAATCTGCATGTTGACAGTCTCTGAAATGGGACAAGACTGAAGGAAATAAAACCACATTTGTCTCTATTGTGTGAAATACATAGTGAACAATTTACTCATAACACCTTAACTGCAAAGAACTCTGCAGCCCCAAGTCATAGAATCATAGAGTGGTTTGGGTTGGAAGCGCCCTTACAGATCACCTAGTGCCAACCCTCCTGCCATGAGAAGGGACACCTTCCACTACACCAGGCTGCTCAAAGCCCCATCCAGCCTGGCCTTGAACACTTCCAGGGAGAGGGCAGCCACAACCTCATCTGTGTATAAACCACATAAGTCTGTGTATAAACTATGATCTTCTCTTTTAAAGGTAAAATGTGACAAAGATAATCGCAGTGGTTTGTCTATTCTGTAACTTGCACAGGCTTCTGACATGCTGTCAATGGTAAAACCTGCTTCAGAAGCCTGGCCTGGTGTGTATTGGTGGATGTTGGGGAAAAACTTGGGTCTGTCTGTGTTCTGGCACACATCAAACTATACCTCTGTTTGCAGGGTGACTAAACCAAGTGCACCATACACTGGGCTGCAGCTTCATGTGTGGGCCTGAGATAGATTAGTTGTGGCCTTTCATGGGAAGGCGAAAAAGGCAAATGGATTTTGTCAGTGCCCTGGGGTTGTACGGCCTTTGTAATTCTACAGGTACGTGGCAGCTTATATCAGATGCATCTTATATATGATGCACCTTTAGTTGGTGTGGATGCACAATGCCAACTCAGACAGCAAGGCAGGCTTTAGCCAGTCTCACCTGGTCTCCTCGGGTACAAACATACAGAGATTCCCTAAAAGAATCACAAGGAGAAATGTCAATGCACTTCTCACGCGGAGTGTGTTTATTCAGAAAGGCAGTCGCATAGCACTCTTCAAAATGCAATTGAGAAATGCACTTGAGAAAATTTTCGTCATTCAGGCAGATGCTTTAATCGTCTAAACAGTCAACAGAAGAGGACCCGACTATTAAAATGAAAGGGGGAAGTATCTTATAGCTACAGCACAAAAGAAAAAAAAAAAGGCAGGAACTCATGCAGTTGTGTCGCATAACTTTTTACTTGATTCTTGCTTATTCCCTTGCTCAAAAACAGCCGTTCGTCTCTGTGGAGCACTGTAAGACGATCAGTTAAAGCCCCCGGTGGGTAAGCGTTGGAACAATACTGATGAAACATGTACCTGAGAATAAATTAGTTTTGTACCCATGCTCCCTTCTGCAGTGACATAAGGAAACTTTGCTTGATGAAGTATGTTTTAATCTATTACATTTGTGTAAACAGAGAATTAAATTATCAATCACAATTCAAGTGGTAGAGATTTATGAGGCGGTTTCAGGAGGACTTTAATCACCTTCATCAATTCTCTGCTGTTGGTGAAAATATCTGCTACTGTCATCTGCTTGAGCTAGTTAGTCCTCATTCATTCTACATGTTACAGGATAAGGATACCTTAATATATTAGCCTCAAATGGAGAAAAAAATCCACAACTTTGAAAAATGACCAGTAGATGATTGTAGTCTTTTAATATACAAAGGAACACTAACAATACAATGAATGGGGTTATATTTTTGAACCAGAAAGGTCATAGGTATTCAGGTATCTCCTCAAGATTCTTTTAGGTCAACATCACTACTGAAAGGTTACTTGTACGTTCAAAATATCTGATATTCTTGATATTCTGCTTCCATCACCCTAACATACTGTTCTTTTAATGTAAGGTTATGGTTTGTTACCTCCTCCATATGGTACTTTCCTTCATAGACAATAATGCTGAGGATTTTTTTCCAAAAGAAAAACTTAATTTAGTTGTCAGTCCTAAACTTACAGGCATTTTCTTATTTACATAGCTACAATTGAATAATAGTTTCAGTGGGTGTTTGAATAACTAGTTGCAGAATTGGGCTGTCAGATCTCCTTACAGAAAGGAACAGTATTTCTATAGTACAGTCCACAAAGGTCTGTGAAATATGTAACACGATATAAATAATGCTCTCCTCCCAGTGTTGTTTATTAGGACATAGCATCTTAAAACGTATCATTATTTGATTTTGCTAAGGCGAGTCCTGAATGAATAATTAACAGCAAAATATTAACACCTGACAAGGGAGCTAGTCAAAATTCAAAACATTTTTTGCGGACATTACAGCTGCTGCGGCAATGTTTCTTGAAGTTACTTTTTTCAAATACACAAGAAGATCAGCTCTTTCATTCTGCTTTTTCATTCCACCAAAAATAATTTTTGTACCAGGAATGTATTTCTTAGGGTTTTCCAAGTACTCCATCAATGTATTCCTATTCCAGACAACTCCTGAAAAACAAAAACCATAGTAAAATACAAGGCTGGCCCAACATCATATGTTTATGACAATATCAAGTCTCAAATCAAACATTTGTGTGCTCCTGAACATAATGTACCTAGAATCTGAGAGGAATGTGGGCATAAAGGATACATAATATAAAATGCACAAGATATGCATTGTCTTTGTGTCACTTTAACAGGTCAAGTATCAATCCTTTTTGCATCATGGAGAGTTCTTTGCACCATTTCACAGACAACTACGTACTACTTTTAAACTATGTAAGTATCTCTGTAATTCCAGTATCCAGAAGATACAACTTTAATTTCATACGGTGGTTGAAAATGAGCATCTACAAGTTGACATGAAATCAATCAAGGCTGTCCTCCATCGAAGTGTGTTAGAAAAAGGGTTATCAATGGCCAGTTCCTGGAATCTCTTGACAGAAGTGTTGCCTTCCAACCTTGCGAAAACCTGTCTCTGTCAACAGAAGCGCACCATTGTACTGAAGACTGCTGAAATACCTATAACGACATGATCAAGTTTCTCTTCTGTCCTCCAGAGTTGACTCTTCCTGTTGTCTAAAGTCAATTTAGATATCACTTTGTGGGCTTTCTTTTAAAAACATCTGTATGATTTGTTCACTAATTTTTTAATGGGAAAAAATAGTTCATATATGCTGATGATGTTTTGTATGAAGGAAATTCCAGTATAAAGTGAATGTCACAAAGCATTTCCTAGAATGCACAGAAAAATGAAAAAGTCAGACAGTTCTAAAGCACCTTAATAAGCAGGAAAAAAACCTCGGCTGTGTTTGTAATTAATAGCTCAATTCAAATAGTATAATTTATATTAAAATAACATGTTAAAATAATATAAATAAACTCAATAAAACCCACACAGAATTACTTCCCCTTTTTAGATGTTCAGCTGCTTTTCAAGACTGTATGAAAAACAAGTCATAGGTTACTAGTAGGTGACAGTAATCAAGTGTTTGGGCAAAACAACTGCAGCACACCACAATGCCAGTAGAGGGTAGTGACCAGAAAACAAAATCTAAAAGCACTCGAGAAACAGAAATTAAAATCTGCCCGTTGATACTACAAAGTTCTGGGAAAGCGACATACCTTCTGACCTGGTGTGCTGAATATTGGTAACATTCATTTCTTCTTAATATAGGGACTGAGGATTTTTGTTTCTGAAACTACAGATTCTTCTGCAGTAATGCAAAGTAGACAGTTGTGAGAGTAACTCCCGGTGACTAAGGCTTTCTGTTGTACCTCTAAAGAAAAAGGTTTCTTTCATATATGTCCCCTCCAACACTGCACCTCATCCATGCCACTTGTTTTACCTTTGTCCCTGTTCGCAGCTGAGCAAGAAAATCCTGCAGCTTGTCCTGTTCTGCAGCCAAATAAACCCCAAAGATTTGATCCTCTCTGATGCTTTCCATCTTTTTCAACTGTGTGGCACTGAGAACATTTCTGAATAAAGATCTTCTTGCCTTTTTCAACATCACCCGTTTTGATCTATTAAAAAAGCTAAAAAAAAAAAAGGAAGAAAAAATTTAACAATATTAAGGAAAAGTTCACTGTTGTTGGTCACATTTATCATCGCCTTCTGCAGTTTTTATAAATATTTCTGTCTTGCATGGTAATAAAAACCACTGTGCCTCAAAGTAATAAAAATTTGTACCGGACTTAATTGTAAAAATGTTTGTGTAAGATGGTTGGGCTGCACGATTTCTTAACACGATCTGGTTGCTGATGGTCATGAATTAAATTTTTTTAAGTTATCCGGTTTACAATTAGGAAAAAGCACCATGAGTTTTGCTGCATCTCTGAGGGGTGCAGAATTACAGAATCTGTTATTCCTCTCTTTGGAGGTTAAGTGAGCTTGCTTGCTCCTCTAGAGCCACTTTGATGGGAAGGGTAAAGGTCAACGTGCTTTTGTCTGGAAGGCCAATCTAAACCACCGCAGAACCCCAGGATTTCCCCGTGGGTCGCAGTGCGGCTGAGAATGTCTCCAGAACTGTGAAATTCAACTCCTCCCCCAGCGCCTGTCAGGACACGTTCATGATAAGGCAGATCTCCAGTGGGAATGGCCCGGACGGAGCGGAAGGTGCCTGCCGGGGTGCCCTCGGGCCCGTGTCCACCAGGAAGGCAGGAGAGCCTTTTGGCCTTTGGAGGGCAGGAAAGGCAGGGCCGCCCCGCTGCTCCCCACCG